CATGTTATAAAGTCAGAATAGCGAGATATAAAGTCAGAATTGCTAGATATAAAGTCAGAAATGCGTAATTAAAGTCGAAATTGCGGTTGTGAAGTCAGAATTGTGAGATATAAAGTCAGAATCGCAAGATATAAAGTCAGAATTGTGAGATATAAACTATTCTGAGAGGAAAAAAGGTTTTTTTCCCCCTTAGAAGTGGCCTGATAAGTCGCAATTGTGAGTTTAGGCTATATCTCACAATTCTGAGAAAATATGTCAGAATTTTGCAGTTATGTGATAAACTCACAATTATGTGTTATAAAGTCAGAATTGTGAGATGTAAACTCGCAATTGTGAGAAAAAAGTCAGAATTGTGAGATAAAAAGTCGCAATTACCTTTTTTATTTCTCATTCTGTGGCGAAAACAAGCTTCCATAGTTTCCTTCCCCCTGCACTGCATTGAATATTTTTGAATACTTTTTCTCAGAATTGCGACTTTATATCTCGCAATTCTGACTTCATATCTCGCAATTCTGAGATAAAAAAAGTCACATTTATTCATTTATTTTTATTCAGAGGCGTAAACAATCTTCCATACGACAGGGAATGTGCAGTGTTGTGGGAAAAAACTGTGAGTGACGACAGCTTCTGAAATGTTGACTGTTCCAAGATGGCGGACGAGTCGTCGAATGTGGCATATCTATGTGCCGTCATACCGGAGATGATGAACGCATACACAACAAATGACTTGATGCAAGCTTGGCCCTTCTCTATCCATCTCTTCTGGGTCTGATCGCACGACTGAAGATGACGGACAGTTCCCGAGACTCGTGATAAATCACAACATGCGTTAACGTTACTCCTGCGTCTCGGTCAATCCAGCGGTATAAATCTGAACAGCGCTTATTCACGAACACCCCTGAGTGATTCTCCTTCCCCGCAACACACACACACACACATCACCTGTGTTCATTCCTGCCGTGCCACGTTCATCTATCCAACGCTTTCCCTCACGGACCCACATAATAACTCAATAATAAGCGACTGGAGCCGTTTTCAGATTCATCATGTGTGCTTCAAAATATGCATACGGCATTCTTTGGAATTCATGCGAGAGATATGTGTAAAATGTTTGCCATTTAATTGGAATATTTTTGCTCGTTACTCATTTTTCTACAGTACTGACGTTTATGAATCGTTTTAAAGGAGGTTGTTTGGAATTGCACACAATAAGAAAAGGTTTTAAATAAAAACTATTTGTGCTTTTTTTTTTTTATTATGATCAGCTACTTTAAGACAGGGAATTTATTTATGTTGTTCTTTTACTTGGTTGCCAATGACGCAAACGTTAAAATTGTGAGATTAGCTAATCAATACTACCTCCCAGATATAATACAGGTTCATAATTAACATGAATAATGCATCATTATAATAAAGGGTAACGGTAACCCACTAGTAATGACTCCAGTGTTATTACATCTTTCTAAACAAACTATCTGGATCAGTATAAAGTGAAGATCATGGGAACACACTGATGACTAAGTGTTACCAAATCCATTGGGAATTACTATTTAAAATCTCACAAAAACCTCAAAAGCTTTCAGTCAATACTAGGCTATCAAGCTTTTCCAAATGATTTGTTCCTTTAGAAGGATGTAGTAACACTTGAGTCATTATATATTAATTATGAACCTCAGTTCTTAGTATTCTTCAGTGAGATATGAAATAGTTATTGATTAGCTAATCAACCAAGCACTGTTAATCAGAGTTTGTTATAGTAGTTACTTGAATGTTAATAATGTGTTACTCATTATTTCCTGCGCAGTTATTCATTAATGAAGGTACAGTGTTTTTAAACTGTTACCAGATCAGTTTTATACATCAGTTATTGAACTGAAAGTGAGCTGAATGAAGCTGCCTTGAAGCAATCTGTCTTGTGTAAAGTTATATTATATTATGAATGCACTTCCATGATCTTGACATAAACTCTGATGAGAAAGACTGAACACTCGCGAGTACAGACGTGTCTGAGTTGTTGAAGAGCCGCGAGCCGCGTGTTTATGAGCGATCTCTCGTAAACCCTCCAGAGAAGACCAGACACACACACACACACACACACACACTGGCTTCAGTGAGCACGCGCAGTTCACAGATGCGAAAGAAGTCAGACACTTCATTCATTTAATCCGAGTTATAACTGAGCCTCGTAAACGCACGGCTACGACCGCGGAGACGCCGACTCGAGGACTGGCAGATCTTACTGTAAACTCTCTGAACGCTTGCACACCAATGGAGAGATGTTGACTCATTATCACACACACAAATTCATATTCTGACATTATTTGCTCACAATTTTCTGTACAAACAAAGCAGGAAAAGTTAGGCTATACAAAAACACTATAGGCCTGTATTAGTATCTGTCCTGCAGTTTAGAAACAACTTGATGTAGAATCTTGAGTTTAGCGTAAACTTTTGCTAGCGCGACATTGACACGATTCAGTCGAATTCAGTAATTGAGTCGAGCTGAAGTCGTATATAATTAAAGTAATTTCATACAATAATTGAAGAACTTTACAGTTTCTAAACTGAATTGAGGATCAGACTCTATATTGTCTATATTTTCATATTTTATGAAGTTTGCATTATCTTCTATCCACCTATTTTATAGTGCATTGTGATCTCGCCTATGGAAACGCCAATATATGCACATCAATTCTAAAACATGTGCTAATGCGCTAAATTTTAAGCAACTAACATGTCCCATAATGCACTTTTCAAGGGTTAATAAAAGTACAAAAGCTTTCAGATGGCACTAACACGTCCCATAATGCACTTTTCAAGGGTTAATAAAAGTACAAAAGCTTTCAGATGGTACTAACATGTCCCATAATGCACTTTTTAAGGGTTAAAAAGGTACAAAAGCGTTTAGAAGGCACTAACATGTCCCATAATGCACTTTTTATGGGTTAAACAAAAGTACAAAAGCTTTCAGATGGTACTAACATGTCCCATAATGCACTTTTCAAGGGTTAATAAATGTACAAAAGCTTTCAGATGGTACGAACATGTCCCATAATGCACTTTTTATGGGTTAAACAAAAGTACAAAAGCTTTCAGATGGTACGAACATGTCCCATAATGCACTTTTTAAGGGTTAAAAAGGTACAAAAGGGTTTAGAAGGTACTAACATGTCCCATAATTCACTTTTTAAGGGTTAAAAAGGTACAAAAGTGTTTAGAAGGTACTAACATGTCCCATAATTCACTTTTTAAGGGTTAAAAAAAGTACAAAAGCTTTCAGATGGTACTAACATGTCCCATAATGCACTTTTTAAGGGTTAAAAAGGTACAAAAGCATTTAGAGGGTACTAACATGTCCTATAATGCACTTTTTAAGGGTTAAAAAAAAGTACAAAAGCTTTCAGATGGTAATAACATGTCCCATAATGCACTTTTTAAGGGTTAAAAAGGTACAAAAGTGTTTAGAAGGTACTAACATGTCCCATAATTCACTTTTTAAGGGTTAAAAAAGTACAAAAGCTTTCAGATGGTACTAACATGTCCCATAATGCACTTTTTAAGGGATAAAAAAGGTACAAAAGCTTTCAGATGGTACTAACATGTCCCATAATGCACTTTTTAAGGGTTAAAAAGGTACAAAGGCGTTTAGAAGGTACTAACATGTCCCACAATGCACTTTTTAAGAGTTAAACAAAGGTACAAAAGTTTTCAGATGGTACTAACATGTCCCATAATGCACTTTTTAAGGGTTAAAAAGGTACAAAAGTGTTAAGAAGGTACTAACATGTCCCATAATTCACTTTTTAAGGGTTAAAAAAAGTACAAAAGCTTTCAGATGGTACTAACATGTCCCATAATGCACTTTTTATGGGATCAAAAAAGGTACAAAGGTGTAACTTTTGAAAGGGGATCACCCCAGTGACAGTTTTTGTACTTTTTTCTGAGAGTGTTGCTAATACTACATGATTTTCTGGATCTTGGCTTAGTTTTTCCCAGAAGTCTGTGAGGTTTTGCTTGGATCAAGCCCCACCTGTGGAGAAAGGCAGCTTTAAAACACACTGAATGCAGGTATGATCTCTGGATCTGTGTGTGTGCTGAACACTGTCGATTTATAGCACTATTT